CGCAGATGTGAACTTCGCATTTAGAACTTGGAACACAGAGGTGAACTTCACGTTTAGAATTTGAAACACGGAGGTAAGCTTCATGTTTTAGAATTTGAAACGCAGAGTTGAGCCTCGCGTTTGGAATTTGAAATGCAGAGTTGAGCCTCGCGTTTGGAAGTCGAACCAACTTAATTTGAAATGCGAAGATCGCAATTGGGCAAGATTCTTGCCTAGAATCTCATGTTGATCTGGTTGTCGTATAAATAGACCGATTTAGGTCAGATCAAGAGTCCTTTGACTCTTTTCATCTTTGTCTTAACTCCTGAACGAGACTTCTCATTTCTTCAAGATCTTCAGTGATCTTTTCTTCTCAAAACCATAAGTTTTTAACCACCGATCACCATCAATGGGATTCAAGAAGTTCACTTCCAAGTCCAGAAAGGTCGTCGAGTCTACTTCAAGCATGCCGTCGCCTGAGGCTGCTAGCGGTGCTTTTGTTCAGGCAGCCACTCCGCCACCACAAGTCCGTCTTCACCATGGTAAGTTTGGACTTTTGAACTCGTTTTGACAAGTTTTGGGTTGTAAACAACGAGTGAGACTTGTGGCTCGGGCTCGGGCATCTTCCATGTCCATGTATCCATGGGCTCTAGCCATCAATTGCTCATAATTGGTGACTGGTTTCTTAGAAAGAGAGTCAGTCAATTTATTGCTCTGCAAACTGGCGACGAGTGTTGATATGGCGACCACACTCCCTGGGTCATCGACTTCTAGTCTCTTGGCTTGGAAACTCTTGAAGTAGGCTCGGAGGCTCTCTTCTGGCCCCTTTCTTATTTGGATCAGCACATGAGGGGGGAGCTTCTGCTTGGCATCAGCTAGAAAATAGTGGATTAACTTTCGATTAAGCTGTCAAAAATTTCTGATGGATCTCTTCTCGAGAGTGTTCCACTAGAGCTTAGCACTCCCTAAAAGAGTGATAGGAAAGCACCGACAGAAAATTATTTCTGAGGCTTGGAGCATACTCATCACATCATAATAATTCTGAACATGCTCAGAGGGGTCCCCCTCGCCCTTGTATGTCTCTATGCGAGGCATTTTGAATTTCTCACATGGGACATTCATAAGGTTGTCTAAAAAGGGGTCGTTACTCCCGAAGATGCTTGCGACCAGTCTGTTGACTCGATCGTATCCAGAGGCTCTAATGGTAGCTAAGGGGATTGGAGAGGCACGGTGGCGGAGAGTTGTAGAGACTGCTTCTTGCGGCTATGGAAGCCGGCTGAGAAGCTTATTGGAGAAGGTAGAAATTTGCTCTTGGCAGGATTGAGAAATCATATGAGCTATTACTTCAAGCTGGGCTTGAGTAGCATAACTCTGATGAGGTCCTCTAGGATGAGATTGCTCAGCTCTATCTTCAGAACCAGACATGTTCTCTCTCTAAAAAAAGAAGGCCCCACGGTGGGCGTCAAACTGTTGATGCTCAATATCAAACAGAATAATTCAAAAGAGGATGGTTGCGGGGTGATAAAGGATGATGGAGGGCTCGCTCCTTTTTTGAACTTTATGCCTGGTTCTTAAATGAGGGCTTGATGTCCATGCTGGATAGACAAGAAGAACTCATGAGAGGGCAGA